TAAATATGTGAAGAAATACACATTGATACATTATTAAAATATATTTAATTTTTTTAATAATAAATATATATATATATATATATATTAAATATATAATTAATTAATTAATTAATTTGTAGAAAATATTATTAATATTTAAATTTAGTCATATGTATTGATGTGTTATCAAAAAGTAAAAGATTATAGTGCAGTATTAACATAAAGTTATTTATAAAAGTAATGTTAATAATAATGAAAATGACTAAAGATTATTTTTAATTAACATTAAAATGCAACTTTATGTTTCTTCAATAAATTAAAATTATTCATAATTAAAAAATAAATAATTTAAAAAATATGATAATTTTTTTTACTGGGATTATAGTTATATATATAACACAAATTATAATTAAAAAGTATAATATAAGTACATGTCCATGAACCAATGACTCATCAAGATCAGTTTTAATATTTCATGGACTCCAGACGAAATGATAAAATGAACCCTTATATGTGAACATTTTAAAATGAAAACATTTAATATAAAAATAGGTATTATTTATTTAAGCTTTAGTATATTATTTAGTCCTTGAACTTTTATAAGAATTTTAAATTAGGTTTGTATCATTTTATATTTTTGTAATTTAATTTCTTATATTAGAGATTTGTTTATAATTCATGAAATTTAATAGAATATTTTTTATATTTCCATACTTGAACAACATATTATATTATTATTTAATATCATCATCGACCAGTATTACTTTAATCTCTATTAGTTAAAATTTCTTACTATTCGATAATTCTTAATAGATTGTGAGAATTTTTGTAGGTAAATTGAAATCTACTTAACATAGACAATGATACATGAAATAATAATTTGATGTGACTATAGGAATTATGGGTAGTAGGGTTATCCTTAAACCCCTTTAGATTTCTGATTCATATGTGATTAGAGTGATTATGAACATTCCAAAAAAGTGTTGGATAATAATTTATTTTCTTCTAGAATTGAATATATATATATATACCTTGATTGGATTGTGATGATATAATTCAATTAGCGTTTTTGCTTCATTTTGTGATTTTTAGGGTTGATATGTATGTAGAGCTCTTAAATTGATAATTATAAGATTCTGATTAAGTGTATAGTTAATTGTTAACTTATGAAAAAATGTGTTAATTATCAATTATAGAATTTGTATTTAGAATAATTTTATTGATTTAATAAGCTTCAGTACCCTCAAAATACTTTGAAAAAATTTAAAACCTCAAAAGTTCAAAATTCACAAATGGTTTCTCGTCATATTCGCGTAAGGGAATTAAGATTCACTTAAGCGAATTTAGGATCGAGAGTCTCAGGTAGAACTCATTTAAGCAAATTAATTTCACTTAAAAAAATTGAGTCTCACTTAAATGAGGCATCCTAAATGATTGAATTATGCTTTGTGAATTTCATAGGATTTGTAGCCTTAGATGTTAGATAATTATTAGATGTTAGATAATTAATGATTTTTGAAATCACTTAAAAATAATGTTTAAAAATCAAGATATGATCAAGTTAGTCCAAAAAAGTTAAGTTGTGAGAGTTATTAAATTAATTTGTGTTCTTTATAATTTTAGATAAATAGATGATAAAATCAAGCTTTAAGGCCAACCTAAAAATTTTATATAATTTTAATAGATTTCAAATAAGATAAAGATCAACTTAGTGGGATTAGTATAGAACTACATGTTACAATTGCACCTCGCATAGGTTGTAGTTGTGTTGGAGGAAATTAATGTGCCTTTATGTTTGAGAATTGTACCTGTCTGAGGGTACACTTGTAATCTTTGGGTAAGTGGAGGGCCGAACGAGAGCTTCGAGTGGATACTTCAGAGGGGGGAGGTACCTGCAAAAGGCACTCCGACGCTCAAGTCAGGACAAGCACGATCCTCGAGAGTAATAAATGAACAGTGACGTACCTCATTTTAAGTGACTTATTTATACTACCTTTGATGGGCCCTGCACGTAGTGGGCCTCTTCTAATGCTTACCAAATTAGGTAATACGATGCTAATCGACTGATTATGTCTTAATCGCGCGTTTGCCCTTGTTAATCGTGATCATCGTCTTAATACCTTCTTGGCCCTATCGACTTCTGTTTGAGCTGATAGATAAAGGCTTAGGTTGTCGTTCGTTCTCGGCCTTTAGCCGAGCCGATAGATAGAGTGTTGGGTTGTCCTTCGTTCTCAGCCTTTGACCCGGCCGATGGTATGTCCTGGATCACCCTTAATCTTTGGCCTTTGACCGAGCCAATACACAGGGGTATGTGGAGCCTTATCATGCTGCCTTGGTTTATGTTACCGGTCTTCAGTCGAGCCGAGGTTGCTAGAGTTCTTCTCGGTTTCGGCCATTTGCCAAGCCGATGGTTGAGCCACTAATGATCTCGTGCTTGTTAATACGGCCATAGTCATGTTTAAGGTCCGCGTGGATGTTTGATAGGACAGCACGTGTCGATCCACGTGACCGATACGACCCTTCCGGTACACAAGCCCCCCAGCCTTTAGGAGTGAAACGACGCAAAGGTTAAACATGGTGTTTCAGTTGTGGCGATTGGGTCAGAATGTGAAGAGTTGTAACTGTTGGATTCGCGGCTATTGGGTATTAAATGTGGGAACGTGAAGGGTTGCAACGTTGGGTTTGTAACCGTTGGGTATTAATGATGGGAACGTGAAGAGTTGCCTTTCATGGACCGTTGGATCAAATTGATCCGACGGTGCTCGAAGGGGTGTGTCACTTGAGATCATCACGAGGAAGTCCTATAAATTGGCGTGTGGTGGGGACCCATAGGTACGTATCTCTTATTTGCTCCGCACCGAAATCACATTGAAGGTTTAGTGTTCAAGCACTTTCTCCCACCAAGACCGGTCAAGCTTCACTTTTAGGTACGTTTTTATGGTAGATATGGATGTTGTTCAAGTTGACTCCTCTGGGGATACGGGTGGTTCTGCTGGCACCAGACCTCATACAGAGCCGGATCGACACAGCGTATCGGCCTCGGCTTCCAATGGGTCGGATGATGTGGAAACCGTTTCAGGATTTGAACGTGTCCAAAGCGGGGATGAGTCTTCGTCTGTAATGATCTCTGATGGTCGTCCCGCGACGCATAAGGTCGGATCGGCATCTCGCTGTTTTCCTCCCATAGAGAC